CTTTTATTTTATTCTAAAAATGCACAGATCTCACAGTCTGGAAACACTCTACCTTCCAGCCATTAGCTCTCACTAATTCATAGCATTATTGTGGAGAGTAGAGGAGTTGTAATTGTTGTGGTATCAGAGCTGTTAATTACCGGAGTAAACAGTTGAAATGGTGCCAAGGTCTATTGTACAAGGCAGAGAAAAGGAGGTTTAAATGTTACTCCCACCATCTGGGGACTGGAGGAGAGGCAAATGCTTGAAAACAGTGGCGAGGCACTGCCGCCGCTTCAGCTCCGGGGTTGGCGGCCATATGGATCCAGAAAAATTTGAATCAATTGAATTTAACTGCCAGTTTTTCACAATAACAGCATGGAAGGAAGGAATAAAGCAGAAGATGAGAGGAAGGAGAATTGGTTGGTGTTTTCACACCCAGGAAGGTCCTGCTGGAGTCCTTTTGGAAATGTCTGCTCTGGTGAAAACCACAGGGCAGGCTCAGGCTTTGGAATGGATTCAAAGTGAGCTTTTCTTCTCTGACAGCCATAGTGCCATGTGCTTCTGGTCATCTGTCCTCGGTGCCCCTTGGTGAGCCAGGGATGCCCTTGAGAAGTCTAGGACTTTCTGTGACTGAACGAGACTCAAGACAGACCCGCACTGTGGGGCTCACTGGTCTTGTCCTGAACATGCTCTGTGGAAAGACAACAATCAATTTGCAACGCTATTACAGCTTCCTGACTCCTTGTATCCGATGTGTGGAAATATGTAAACAGGGCCAGCTCTTCTCTTGATTGAGAAATGGTGTTGCTTGCCCATTCCTTTTGTATAGAATTAAATACAAAAGTCTCTTGATAATCTCAGTTTTATTCCTGGAACTCAGTCTTTCCCCACACTTGAATGAGAATCAAAGCCTGGTCTATAAAGTGAGTACCAGGACAGCCAGGGCTACACAGACAAACAAAACAAAACAAAAAGAAAGAAAGGAGAGTCGAGTCAAAGGGCACGTGTATTTCCTTTTGTCCTCAATCTACAATTAGAGAGCTTCCATCAGCAGCCACAGTTTTCCCAGCCAGCCTTATTTCTCTACGTGGATAGGAAGATACCTGTGTCCAGTAGTAATGGTCATGGCTAATTCCACGTATGGTTGATTTAAACACGACATGGCTTCCGTTTGAAAATATTGTATAATCTTTAAAACAGTCATATGTATTTACTGGTTGTCATTCTTACAGTTCAGTATAATTTCCTTAAAAACTATTCTCCAATGGTAAGAATATTTGTCTATCACCAGTCATTTGCTGCGGTAACTACTTTTCAGTATCATTCCCCAAACATGAACATATTCTTCTCCTTTTAAACCACCCTGGATTACTGTATTTATTTCTAATCGTTCCTTTAGCAGATGTTGAAGTCATTTGGGGTGTAATATAAACAATTCTTTTAAAGAGAGAAATCACAGATACACCAGGAAAAAGGGGGCAGCGTATTATCAGGCTTTTATAATGGTAGTTTTTGTCGAGGGAGGGAGAATTTTTTTTCCTCCTTTTGTGTGTGTGCAAAGTTCAGTCAAGAATTTCTAGAAGCACTTAATCTTTATCTATTGAAACCCCCAGCATGCATCGCGACAGGATGAGCCTGGAAACATACAAACAAACAAACAAACAAACAAACAAACAAAAAGCACCGCTCCCTGTGGTGAGGGGAGGGAAACAGCAGTGTGCATGCTGCAAAGTGGAGAGGGAATGAACTTCTCCAGCGTTTGTGGTCGCAGTGAAACAGTTGTGCTGAGCTTTGGAATGGAAGCACAGCATATGTGCCTCAGTTGGACGAAACGCCTCTCGAGTCAAATCAACGGCTAGGCCTGCATGTTGGTGCAAGGTAGAGGCCTAGATAATGAGGGACAGACTCCTCAAGACGCAGCGAGTGGATAATGCTACATAAGTATGGAATTATATACCGTGTTTCCAACATTCTGTTTAATGAGAGCTGCCACTGCAGCGAATCACTTGCCACACACCCGAAATGGGCCATTAGCTATCAAGGGAAAATTGTCTTTGCTGCTTTTAGCAGATGGAGCAAATATTTTACAAAGCAATTTTACATACCAAAAACATTTGTGTGCTTTGGTAATGCTGGTTGTTTTACATTATGTTACCTTCTACTGCAGCATAATTTTCCATCTCATCGAAGGCAAACTTGGCATTTTTGGTTTTTAAATTCTCCATTAGCAATTAAACATGGACTATTAAAGCTGTCCTTAAACTTTAAGTAGGTATGGGAAGTAGTTTCTGACTTGCTGGAGACATTTTCACTTTGTTCTTCATCCTTTCAACATATTTCTGCACCCTAAAGAGGGACTGTTCCTAATGATCTTAGTGGAAAGGAATGAGTGAAAACTTCACTCCTGACTGCAAAATGAAAGTAATCACCATGCGGGGGTTAGCAGAGCATCCGCTGACTTAAAACTACCATTGAGGATCATGGGGACACGCTTTGGCCCACCCATTTGTTGTATCCTTTAAAATGTTTAAGCTTCAAGTAACAGAACCTCAACTCAAATGGCTTTCCAAAGAAAGAGAAACTGGCCATGGGTATCTGGAAATGAAAGACTGTTCTGGCTCCAAACAGCAATATCACCAAGGACCCACACAGTTTTCTGTCTCTCCTTTGAACAATTCATAAGGCTGCTTCTTTCCTAAGACTAGATTCCAGAATTTGGTTTGGGTCCAGGCAATAGAAAGAGAGAACACCTCACCTGGTAGCAACTCAGATCACACACTTTCTTTCCAGAGCCCCAGTAAGCATGATTGCCCTCATTGGGTTGCATCTGTATACTGAACCAGCCACTGTGCCAGGGCAAGGTTAGGTTTCTTTGGAGGTGAGAGTGGAATCCCCCCTCAATCAGTCTTCCATAGCAAAGAATAGGGAAGAGCAGTTCCTCAAAGGAAGTGTGGGGTATCCTTAGCCTGAAAGAGGGAACATATAGGATGCATAGCCAACAGCAGATATCTGTCCTACCATTTTCCCATGTTTAACATCGCATCTGTAGTTGATCTAATCTGACCAGAGTGTTACAGGCGCAGATCCCACTCTACTATGGCACATTAGTAGCAACTGGGTTTATACCCAAGTTTTGCCACTTCCTAGCTGTATGTTATGAAATGAAGATAATATCTCTAGATAGTGACTTAAGATAGTATATGTAGGACCTCCGACATGGCTGTAACATGTTAAGCTTTCTGTAAGTGAGGTTTCTTTTCTCTGGAATAGTTTTCCAGAAAGGGGCCAAATCTAAAGCTAGGCTTCACTCCGTCCCATCTCCCCACCCCCCCACCCCGTTCAGAGACAGTTTTCTTCCACAGAGCAGAATGTGAACTGAAACAAGTATGAGACAAGAGTGTGGGTATTCAGAGAGCAGAGTGGGTTCCTTGTGCTGGAACTACTTGCTCATGATTTGCACATGAAGCTTCGACACCATCAGTAAATTTACACTAACAATGAGAGTAAATGTACAATGTACAGGGTATGAGGTGGGGAAGGGCCTGCTGCTTTTACTGTCATCTTCCTTGCTTCTGCATGGCAAGGCAGAGGTGTAATGCATGAGCCTTTCTAGCCCTTTCTAGAAGGACTCTGTACCTTGTGCTGGCAAATCACTGTGAAATCGGGAGAGGCCAGAGAACTCTGCTTCTGAGTGAGTTTGTTTAGTATGTCAATTGCTTACTAAGACTAACTAATGACACAGCCCACAGGGGTTTCCAGGTAGTGAGAAACAATTCAGATTATTTAGATCTGCCTATCACATATTCTAACTTATTTGCCTTTTATTCTGGATTTTCAGTGGGCACTGAACCAGAATCAGCCAACCAGATGTTCTAAGGAATTGGGAGATGGCAGAGGACAATCACTTTTTAATGTTAGGGAAATTGGAAAAATGAGTATGCAAATAGCTTCTAGGATTACAACTGGCCCCATTCCTAGAGCTGATGCTCACACATCACTCGGGGTTCACTCTCAGTTTGCCCGGGACCCCAAGGCAAGCTGGAGCTTTGCTTGTCCCTGTTCCGCATTAGAACATGAATACTGGTCACCAAAAGTTCTTGTATGGAGTGCCCTGCCCTACCCTGCCCTGCCCTGCCCTGCCCTGCCCTGCCCTGCCCTGCCCTGCCCTGTCCTGCTTTAGACAAGTAGTATCTGAACTGTGGCTTCCATTGAAAAGTTGTACTGAGTCTTAAGAGCATTATAACTTAGGACAGAGAAGGAATTATCATAGCAAGCCGCACCTTTTATATAAAAAGATAGACTTCCATTTGATGTGAGAGCTTCCTACTGTTTTCCCTCCTGATGGGAGACTCTTGTCTTTGGATCATCTCACCAATAATGGGGGCCAGCTACATAGCTAGACAGGTGACGCTGCGATCTGCAGGAATTCTAGGTTGACTAAGACTGACTGTAGAACATGTTCCCTAACTTAAAATCCCACCTTTACAGTTTTAGTCAAGAGGTTAGGCTTTCCTACCAACACTGTAAAAAGGCAGCTCTCCACCAACAGAGTGGGCACAGGTTAAAGAGACAGAAGTGTCAAAGAAAGACATCATCAACTCCATTGTTCCTTCTAGGCTCAAGTGCAGTTAGATTCCGAGAAAAAAACATTCTCATCTAAAGGAGTTAAGGGACAAGCCACTCAGCTCTACTTTTCCAGAATGAGAAACTGAGGCAGAGGACATTCTGCAGGTCAGGCTGCAGTGGATCTGAAACCTGGGCTCCTGATGACCAGCACGGGGTGCAGTTTGGAGACAACATGCACAATTAGCATCAATTTCAGGGAGGGGGAACCACTTTGAAATATGAAAAGTGAAATGGCTGGAAAAATAGAACAATCTCAAAATGGCTTTCTGGCTCTGGGTAAACAGTAACCACATTTTTTTTGCCTGTTGGAGGCCTGGTTTTTAATCACTCCACAAGCAGTTTTCATTTCTGTAGTAAAATTGCTTGTGGTTCTATTTAATTTGTTTCTGCAGGAGCCAGCTCTGGCGAAGATCTCCGAGGAGCTGGCGGGCATTTTAGCACAGCACGTACAGCCAGTCAATGAGAAACGGTTCCCGACGTGGAGGAAATTCCTCCAAATGTTTCTCACTCAAGGTAAATAAGACTGTAAAGTTTCTACTGAGGATCAGCGTGTACAAGCTTAGGTTCTAGTTCTGGGTCAAGCCAGGGCCAATTCAAATACTCTGCATCAGCCGATGCTGGCTTAGAACAACGTTTCTGCTGCTGACTTTGTTCTTTCTCAGGCCCTGCCTAATATTTATCGTGCACCCAGCCTCTTAAGTAAATAGGAGCTGAGCGTGCCAAACATGCCATGCAGAACTCAGGACTCTGGGCATGTCTTAGCCCAGACTTGTCTTGAGTGGAAGCTCTCCATCTGAACCACCTGTGGCCTCAGACAATCCTCAGAGACCCAGTTTCCTTGGTTACTTACTGCATATGGCTGTTGGGAAAATTCAGGGATAGAAATAGGAATATTTCTATCACAGACTAATGAACAAAGGCCTTTACTAAGTCTAGTTTTCCCTCCCATTTTCTAGGAGAACAGAAATGGCCTAGCTCAGAAAGGTGATGTTTTCAAACCAGAATCCTCTACAGACTAGGAATAAAACCAGCCTCCATTCTTTTTATGTTCTTCTCCTTCCTCATCCTCATTCTAAAATGACATTGGGAAGTCAATGATGAATGAGGGGATGAACAGAACAAAGCTTATCTGCAGTCCCAGAGGTCTCTGGGGTGCTACACAAGGCCACATCTAGGCAAAGGCTTTCTCTCTCTAGGAGGTTGCAGTGTAAGGCACACATGATCTGCTTAACGTATTTACTTGATGCTGTCAAGTGATAATGATAATAATACACTGACCTCAATATAAAATGATAAACTGATAGAGCTATCATATTATAGTGACAACACAACAATAGTAACAGCACAAAGTAGGTGTTATATGCCAACATCCTCCCAACTAGAGGAACATTAGCTTACTTCATCCTCCTATCAGTCTTATGAGTGGGTACTGCTACCACCCTTATTTTAAGCACAGGGAGCCCAAGGAACAAAAGATTAGATCACACCAAATAAGTTGCCAACACATAGAAGAGCTCATAAAAGTCTATCCCCATGTTCCAGCAGGAGTCTTGGCCACAGCCAATGGTCTATTCATCAGGAGCATGACTCAGCCCTATGTATGAAAGGGGTTTGTCAAAAAGGACAGGCCTGTTGGCTATTGAATACATTGGCTGGGCAGAGTGTGGCAGATGCCCTATTAATGAATTATTTAAATAAGAGGTTGGATGCCAGTCTTCTAACAGGAATGCTGGGGGTGGATCTGGCGTGTGCACGTGTGTGTGTGTGTGTGTGTGTGTGTGTGTGTGTGCGTGCACATGTGCACGTGTTAGGGTACCTTCAGTGTCCTCTCATCTCTGTAAATGTATGAATAAACAAATTTCCACATGTGTGCATGGACAGAAAAGAGAAAGCAAGAAGAAAGTCGGCTCCATTTGGAATTGGAAGAAACACAATGTCTTCTACAAGCAAGCAAATAAACAGGTTTAGAAGAAGGGAAGGGATTTAAGTTAAGAGGGAAAATCATGAGGATCTTCAGGTCCATTATAGACAGAGTATTAGGAAGCTTACATACAGCCAAGGTCAGCTTGATAGTCCTTCCTGTAAAGCAGTGGTTCTCAATCTTCCTAATGCTGGGACTCTTTAATATGGGACCCAACCATAAAATTATTTTCATTGTAATTTTGCTACAATTATGAATCATAATGTAAATATCTGATATGCAGGATATCTGATATGTGACCCCTGTGAAAAGTTGTTTAACTCCCAACGGGGTCACAACCCATAGGTTGAGAACCACTGGTCTAGACCACCATTCCTTCTTATGTGAGTTCCTAGATCTCTCTCACCTGAGCTATGTGGCCCAAGCTAAGGCTTCACCTTTCCCCCACTCCTGTTCATCTCCCTCCCTCCTCCTCAGTCATGCTATAACACTGGATAAGAAGCAGAGCAGGCTTTGTTAAACCCAGTTCCACAGAGGAAGAAATGGAGGGTTAGAGACGTGGGAAAAAAATAACACTCCAGATAAGTGATAACACAATCAGACCCCATACTTTTAGAACATTATAAAATATGGGTCTTATAAGCCAGTGTTTCTCAACCTGTGGGCCATGACCCCTCTGAGGTCAAACAGCCCTTTCGAAGAGGTCACATATCACATATTCTGCATATCAGATATCACATAATTCATAGCAGTAGCAAATTTACTGTTACGAAGTAGCGATGGAAATAATTTTATGGTTGGGGATTGCCACAACATGAGGAGCTGCATTAAAGGGTCACAATGTTAGGAAGGTTGAGACCATGGCATACATAATACAGTTTTGAAGGTTCTTCGTTGGTCTGGACCTAGTGCATGCAGAAGGCCTTATGTATTTTCTGACTTGAGAAGGACATCTCCCCATATTCTTGACTCTCTCTCACCAGCTTCTACCATTGCCTATTTTATCCCATTTCTATTCTCTTGAGTGAGCTTTATGGCCACAAAATGTGCTACAGATTTGATTTCTACACTGTCAGATTTATATAAAAGGCAATACATTTTTGAAAAAAAATAATTGTTTTGAAAGGAAAAAGATTACCTAAAGTCTTGATGCTAAGAAGACAACACAACTAAGGAAGTTTGATATAATGTATCTGCATTGGTTACTTTTGTTGCTGTGATGAAACACCATGACCAAAAATGACTTATGAAAGAGTTTATTTTGGCTTGTGCTTCCAGAGGGAGAGTCAAATATAGTGATGGAGGAATGGCATCAGGCTGCCAGAAGAGGAAACTGGGAGATCACATTTTCAACCTCAAGCAGGAAGCAGAGAGATTAAAGTGAAAGTAGGGCAAGTCTATAAACTCTTAAAGCCCGCCCCAGTGATGTTCTCTCTCCAGCAAGGCTCCATAACTCCTGAACAGTTCTACCAATACAGCCCAAGTATTCAACTATGTGAGCCTATGGTGGATGTTTCTCATTTAAAGCTCCATGGCACTTCCTCTTGCCCACGCTGGGATCTCTTGACCTGAGGACTGCAGGCAGGTTGACTCAAACCCCCGTGGACCAAGCAACATCCAGTCTGCACTGTCCTAATCCAGCTCCCACCCACTGGGAGAGGGTGTAACTCAGACCTGCCTGCACCCACCGTGATCAGAGTATTGGACCTGCATGCACCCACCAGAAGAGAACATTGGACCCACCAGGAGAGGAAGAGACCCCACCTGTACCCACTGGAAGAAGGGATGGGAAGACGACAATATAAAAACCAAAAATATAATATGTATATTATATTAAAATATAATAACCGAAAAACCAATATGACGCCACCAGATTATAGGGACTCTACACCAGCAAGACCTGAACATTCCAACACAAATGAAGCAGAAGAGAATGACATTAAAAACAACTTGATGAAGATGATATAGACCCTAAGAGAAGAAATGAAAAAATCCTTTAAAGAAATGGAAGAAAATACAAACCAAAATTTGCATGAAACAATTCAAACAGTAAGATTTGAAGGCTGAAATAGAGGCAATTAAAAAAACACAGTCTGAAGGAATGCTGGAATTAGAAAAGGTGGGTAAACAGTCAGGAACTATAGATGCAAGCATAACTAACAGAATACAAGATATGGAAGAAAGAATCTCAAGCATTGAAGATACACTAAGAGAAATAGTTTCATCGACCAAAGAGAATCTTAAGTCCAACAAATTTCTAATACAAAATATCCAGGAAATATGGGACACCGTGAAAAGGCCAAACCTAAGAATAATAGGTATAGAAGAAGGTGAAGAAACCCAAGTCAGAAGTGCAGAAAACATATTCAACAAAATCATAGAAGAAAATTTTCCCAACCTAAAGAAAGACATGCCAATGAAAGTACAAGAAGCCTACAGAACATCAAATAGAGCGGACCAAAAAAAAAAAAATAAGTCCTCCCGGCACATAATAATTAAGACACCAGATATATAGAATAAAGGAAGAATATTAAGAGCAGCAAAGGAAAAAGGCCAAGTAACATATAAAGGCAAACCTATCAGAATCACACCTGAATTCTCCATGGAAATTCTGAAAGACAGAAGATCCTGGATAGATATTCAACAAACACCAAGAGACCAGGGATGCCATCCCAGACTATTCTACCCAGAAAAGCTTTTAATCACTATAGATGGGAAAACAAGATATTCCATGACAAAATGAGATTTAAACAATACATATCCACTAATCCAGCCCTATAGAAAATACTGGAAGGAAAACTCCAACCCAAGGAAGTTAACTACATTCACAAAAACATAGGCAATAGATAATCCCACTTTACCAAAAGCCAAAAGAAAAAGTGGGGTAGATCCACAAACAATACCACCACCACCAACAAATCAAAAACAAACAAGAATTAACTCTAAATGGTCTTAATTCCCCTCAATATTAATGGTCTTAATTTGCCTATGAAAAGACCCAGGCTAATAGAATGGATATGAAAAAAGAATCCATCCTTCTGCTGCATACAAGAAACACACCTCAACTTCAAAGACAGACATTACCTCAGAGTAAAGGGTTGGGATAAGATTTTCCAATCAAATGGACCCAAGAAACAAGCTGGTGTAGCTATCGTAGTATCTAACAAATTTTATTTCAAACTAAAATCAATCAAAAGAGATGAAGAAGGTCATTTCATATTCATCACAGGAAAAATCCATCAGGAAGAAGTCTCAGTTCTGAACATCTATGCTCCAAATACAAAGGCACATTACTAGAACTCAACTCACACATAAGATCTCACACAGTTATGGTGGGAGATTAGAACACTCCACTCCCACCACTAGACAGGACCACCAATCAGAAACTTAAAAAAGAAACAAAGGAACTAACAGAAGTTATAATCCAATTGGGATTAACAGACATCTATAGAACATTCCATCCAAACACAGTTTCTTCTTCTCAGCGCCATATGGAACTATCTCTAAAATTGACCACATACTAGGCAACATAGCAAACCTCAACAGATACAAAAAAATTGGAATAACCCACTGTATCCTATCAGATCACCAT